ATTTTTAGTAGAGATGGGGTTTCACTATGTTGGCCAGGCTGGTCTTGAACTCCTGACCTCGTGATCCGCCTGCCTCGGCCTCCCAAATTGCTGAGGTTACAGATGTGAGCCACTGTGCCCGGCCTTTATAGTCAATTCTTAGTTACCTGCTCTGATTCCTCAGTTTGGCAGGATACAGTCTGGTGTCTATACCTACCAGCCAATAGGGGTGAACAGTGGCCTCTCAAAAGTTGAAAGTTGTTTTGCATCTCCTCACTTGATTTTGTTCTGCTCTTGCTTCAAATCCAGTCTCTATCCTGCTATGAACTCTGGCTAACGTAATCACAATTTTGAGCCTACCTTTGGTCCTTTGACCTTGGTATTCATAGATTTCCCAGATTTTAAGTCTTAGCATTCCTAATGGTTTGCAGTTTCAATTTGCACTCTGGTTCTCTGTGCTTCGTAAGGAATCCCTGCTCAAGGTCTAGGCCCTTGGAAATGAGACTTCATGATATTCCATCAGTGGTTCCCAAGAGAAAGGAGGACTTGGCAATCTCTATCCTTCACATTTTACCAAACAAGTTAATTCACACTTCCACTTACATAGTCCCTTCACTTGAAGGGACTTCTTTGCTTGAAGACAAACTCTGTTTGCTCAGAGTCATCACCTCTTCACACTAAATACTCCTAGTATCTCCTCATATATTTCCTATGGGAAAAGAAAATATGTTGAGCCAATCATAGGTAGCACCCACATTTTTATATTTCCAAGCTGGTTTTTCTGCTATGCTTTCTAAATTTGGGACGGATGAAGATTCTGATTATTATAAACCTGACACATAATGGACTGTCTTCTCGTTAAGACAGTTTTTTTTTTAAAGAAAAATATATACATGCATGTAGGTTGAAGAATCAATTATTTCTACAAAGTTAATTAATAAAAACAGCAGTCTTCCACTTCTTTTCCCTTTTGTGCCCTTCCACAAGAAGCAACCAAAATATTTAGCTAATTATTTAATTTTTTTGGTATTTAATGTTTCTTTTTCTGTTTTTTTTTTTTTTTCTTTTTTCTTTTCTTGAGATGGAGTCTTACTCTGTTATCCAGGCTGGCGTGCAGTGGCATGATCTTGGCTCGCTGTAACCTCTGTCTCCTGGGCTCAAGTGATTCTCCTGCCTCAGCCTCCTGAGTAGCTGAGATTACAGGCACATGCCAGCACGCCCGGCTAATTTTTGTATTTTTGGTACAGACAGGGTTTCACCATGTTGGCCAGGGTTTCACCATGTTGGGCTTGAACTCTTCACCTCAAGTTATCCACCTGCCTTGGCCTCCCAAAATGCTGGGATTACAGGAGTGAGCCACCACACCTGGCCTATTTACTCTCTGTTTCTACAAAGTAACACATTTACATACTTTTTAAAAAATACTCAGTGTTTGATTATAACTGTGTGACTATTATTAAAAAATAAACCACATAGTATACTATCATTTTCCCCCCTTAGATACACAGTTTTTTGTTTTTTCCCAGGTAATAATTGCCTTCTTATTTGATTATTTTTCCATGTACCTGTCAGTCATTCAGTCTTTGTTGATTGTTTAACTCTCCTCTGAAGATGCTGAGATACGGCAGGCGTCCAGCTCTCTTGACTTTGTGGAAGGGATCTCTCCCAGAGCCTCCGACCCACTCCCATGTGTGCTCATTGTCCTCTACCTTAGTGTGGAGCAGCAGCCTGAGATGTCACTTCCCCAGCATTTTGGGAATTTTCTTTCTTTTCTTTTTTTCTCTTCTGTTGACATCTGTTTCCTGCATGCTATGTCTCCTGTTTTCTTAGTTTATTCTCTTGTTTTGGATGATCATACTCTCCAGTCGTTTCCTGAGAAGAGGTACATGGGAGAATGTATGAAAATTTCTTCATTTCAGCCGAGCGCGGTGGCTCACACCTGTATTCCCAGCACTTTGGGCGGCTGAGGCGGGTGGATCACCTGAGGTCAGGATTTC